GCTACTTGGGAGGCTGAGGCAAAAGGATTGCTTGGGCCCAGGAGTTTGAGGTTGCTGTGAGCTACGATGCCACGGCACTCTACCAGGGTGACAGAGTGAGACTCTGTCTCAAAAATAAATAAATTAATAAAATAAAACTTTTTCCCCCTTTCCATGGACAAGATTACTGCCCGACATAGTTGAGACACAGTCATGGAATAATAATGCAAGATGGTGTCCCACTGAGAGGATACCCCACCGGCAAACCCAGACGCTTTGCAACGAGGAGAGACAGTCCACTTACTTGGCGCTGAAATCCAGATGCCTGGGGAAATCGATTTTCCCGGCGAGAATTTTCTGATAGATACCAAATGGGTTGTCATCGAAAAATGGAGGGAAGCTGTCAGAAAAATAAACATCTAGTTTAAGTGGGTAACAAGGTTGGAAGACATTCCTTACTTGTGTAAGGATGGTTATTTCTGCTTCCCATGCACGGAAAATAATTCACGTCACATGTCATCTTTCTTCACACGCTGAAGTCATTTCTATCTGACACCAGGACACGGGGACAGTTCCAGGATGTGATGAATGGTACCCTGTGGCCCAAGAGGAGGGCAGAGTCCCTTGGAGATGAGGTGAAGACCGCTTGGAGACAGTGTCTGCTGATCAACTCAACAAGTAACTCATTACACGGTTTCCGAATTTAAATATCATATATTCTCACAAATTCTCTATATACTCATGAACCTGAGGTTGATTTTTGTCACCAAGCAACACTGAGAAAGAATTATTCCCAGAAAGAATATTTTTGCCCTAATAATTAGCAAAATATTAAAAGCTATTTAAGATTGCATGAAAACCCATAGCTGCTGATATACATAGAATGCTTAATAATTAAAGTACTAGAATGTTATCATTAAAAAACGTTAGTTTAAGGTGGCACCTATAGGTCAGTGGGTAGGGCACTGGCCACATACAGCGAGGCTGGGAGGTTTGAACCTGGCCAGGCCCAGCTAAAAAACAACAATGACAACTGCAACAACAAAAATAATAAATAGATGGGTATTGTGGTGCCTGTAGTCCCAACTACTTGGGAGACTGAGGCAAGAGAATCGCTGAAGCCCAAGAGTTTGAGGTTGCTGTGAGCTGTGATGTCACAGCACTCTATCCAGGGGACAGCTTGAGGCTCTGTCTCAAAATATACATATATGTGCATATATATATATATATGTTCCTTTCTCTGTTTTGGGGAAGCAGCCCTGTTTAATACACTCAGCCGTGTGATTTCATCAGGGAGACAGAAAAATTCTGCAGTGGAACATTAACTTCGGGAGAGACCATGTCATACATACCTAAGAACATTTACAGAGGGTATTAAAGAAAGTGCTCTTGGAAGGCCACCCATCCGTGACAATATCATGGGAAAGGTATTTAATAAGTGGGGCAAGAAATAATAATAATAAATGAGCTTTAGCTGATCTTCCTGGACAGAAAAAGCACAGGCGTGAGCATCGGAGGGAGCTTGCCTGTGAAATCTTGCAACTCCTGACTCTAACGTGCTGAAATGCTTGCAGGCAAATGTTAATCAGTGTGAAAGGAAATGAGGGATCATGACATGGGCTTTGGCCCTTTAAACAACTTGAAGTTGTCTCTGCTGACAGCTATACTGGAAAGAAAATGCACTAATCAGTGTGAACATAGCCTCAAGATTTTCATCTTAAATATTCACACTGGTGTGCTCACTATCACCAGTTTCTTTTTTCTTTTTGGCCAGGGCTGGGTTTGAGCTCGCCACCGCCGGCATATGAGGCCGGTGCCCTACTCCTTTGAGCCACAGGTGCTGCCCCAACTATCACCACTTTCTAATAAGGAAGATTCTAACGTAAGCATCGCAGCCATCTCCATCTTCCAGGAAAATGCACCACACAGGTGCTGGGAGCTGCCTGTGATTTGCAGAAACATCCCAGCTCAGATGAAAGTGACCTCTCCCTCCATCCTCAGGTTACCTGCCCAGGTTGGGCTGGCATTGAAAAAAGGCAGGTGCTTTTTGAGAATTAAGAAGAGGAAGAAAAGGGTTTCTGGAAGAGCAGGGCAGGAGGAGAACGGGCTGTTCCTATAACTTCATGCCACTTCTGATTCGTCCTCAAAGATTCTGTCCCTGACACTTTTGCATTAAAAGATAAAATCTACGCTCCTTCCTTGGACAAAACTGGACGGCTAAGGTTGGAGCGGGCATGAGGAACTCAAGACAGGGAAAGAGCAAACAGAAAAGGAAGTAGGACAAGAGGGCACAGCAAGAAAAAGGGGTCGTTTGGGTCCATCGCGACCGCAGCGATTCTGAGTGGGAGCCCAGAGAAGCCTGGGGTTCCCTCACGTTTGATTTAGGAGATTGATCCAGTCCTTTTCCGACAGCAAGCCAGAATACCAGTGATTGTTCTTCATGTGGCTCACCCCAAACAGAGAGGGTGCAGGGAAGTCTAGCAGGTTTTAAGTTGGACGTGAAACAGATTTAGCAAAAAAAAAAAA